ACATGCGCTGCCCCAGTCTGTGGTACACAGCAAGGGGCCACAGCAGGATGAAGAGCACTGAGGTAAGTGGGAATGCACATTAGAAGTTTGCCCAGAATGCAAACATCCTGCCTGTTTTGTGATGCAGAGAATGCCACATCTGAAGGAAGGCAATGCCGCAGGAGGTTGTCAGAACACTGCAACCACCTCCATCGAGGCAGCAAAACTGAGAGGCCAACCTCCTAGTGCTCTGGTGTGTGGTTACTGAGCACTCAAACATGTTCTCTCTGCACCAGAGACCCCAGAGTCCCAGTCAGGAACCACCACATTCCAGGCAGAACGTATTCTTTCCAATTGTAAAGCCGTTCACAGAAGCTTTCCTTCTGAGCAGGAGAGCCCCATCCCAGCCATTCAGATCCCACTCATCTCTACCCCCTTTTCACTTCTAAGTCTGTACTGGCACAGAGATCTACTTACACAGCAAGTATGAGAGCAAGAGTCCAGGGATATAGCGGCCCAGGACAGCCAGGAAAGTGAAGACTCCACACACTAGAAGGCAAAACTGAAGACAGGGGAGACAGTGAGTTTCCAAAGCAGTGGATTCACTTGGTTCTTGCAGATTCTAAGTCATACTTCTAATGACAGCAAAACCTTCCCAGTGCTCTAGCACCACCTCTGGGACCAGCACAGGCAGCATTGCCAAGGCCTCTTGCCTCAGCATATGAACAGCTTCCCAAAGCTAGGAAGAGGCTTTGCAGAGACAGGAAGCTTGAAGGTGAAAAGGACAAGGACAGTTCCAGCATGTTACAAGTTGCTCTTTGCATAAGCCTTAAAAAAAAGAAAAAGGGGAACACAAAAAAAGCAGCTTGACACCTCTTCCTCACTGCTCAAATCCACTGAGGGAGTTTGACAGACACTGACAGAGCTGGAAACCTACAGAAGGAGCAGCTACATTTCACAACCAGCATGCCAACACTCGCTTCCTCCTCCCTCCTCCCCAGCCTGGCTGTTCTGCCTGTGCTTTCCATCCCTCCTCACCACTTAACAGCATTGGGGGAGACGTGGTAACCTCCCATGTGTGACTGCATTCAGCCAACGCTGGATGCCACCACGAGAGGATCCTGGTGGGCAGCAGAGGCTCCACACCATGTGTTTTATGTGCTGAGGTCTGTACATTCTTACCTTGCCAGGGTTTTGCCTCTTGAAAATGAAGAGATTGCTTAAGAAGTTGGTCCCAGCCACCCATCCTTCAGCCAAATGGTGGCAGAGCTCTGGCACTCCAAGCAGCCGAGGGTGGACATATCCCCAGCTGCAGGAAAGGCAGGAATTCAGGAAGAGAGCTCACTGCATCGACCAGTGCAGAAATCACTTGTTACAGACACTTGTCTCAATACTTCCTTCTCTCCTCCCACAGCACTGAGCTCCTTAGAGCTGTAGGTGAGGCTCAGCTGTCTTCCAGAACAGCACTGCCAGGGACTGCTCTCCAAGTGCCCCAGCTCTCCCACAGCTAAGGAGAAGCAATTCCAGTCTCTCACTCTTTGGCTTGGACTAGTTTCCATGCTACTGGAGGGAAAGGGCAGTGCAGAAGCAAATCCATTTGCTTTTTCTGCATTGATTTAATCGACTGCAACCCAAAGAATTCAGCACGAGGTCTCTACAAGCAGCTTTGGACCTTACTTCATATATTCAGTTCCTTTGGAGGCACTGTCTTTGGCAAGTTCTATTAGTGCTTCTTAACTGCTAGTCACGAGTATGGAGGTTAAGGAAGAGCAGTTCCTTCTGTACCTGGGCCTCTTGCAAAAGAAAACAAAGTAAAACCTGTCATTTGGCACCAGCCCAAGTGATTTAATCAGGAGCTGAGCACCCAACGCAGCACCACAGGGCAGGAAGGTGTTATTAGTAAGGCAACACCCCAACTTTTCTCAAGCCATCATTAATGCTGCAGTCAGATCCCAAGTATGCAGTGCCAGCTCCTGGAACAAGCTGTTAAACATTCCCTGTCAAGTCTCAGAAGACTTCATCCTTTCCCAAGGAAAGGCTGGTTTCCTGCTACAGGAGGCCCATACAGAAGGAGCTGCTTTTGAGGCAGCACCTCTAACTTAAGGGCACAAGGGAAGTTTTGCAATGCTAAGAAAGCACTGTCAAGGGCTAGTAGGAAGGCAAAGTGTATTGTAACAGCTTAGGCCAGTCAAATACTTGTCCCAGCTGCTTGACAGGGTCGAGGGCTCCCTTCTCCCCTTTTCTTCCTCGCTCAAAGAGCACATGCAGGTGGTAGTTGACACGGTATCATCACAGCAAACACCAAGAGCAGAGAAGTCAATTAGTTTCCTACCTCTCATTGTCTAATTCGTCAGGTCTTGCCACTAAAATATTAAGAACAGACACTACATTAGTTGCAAGGAATTTGCCATGAGAACACTTAGGTCTTGGGATTTAAGTAAAGCTTTAATGAGTTGGGGAATACCTGGGAAAGGCATTAACTGTAATTAAGAACCAGAGATGGATCACTCCATAACACACTTTGAACGTGCACGTGTGACAGTAGGAGGTGCAAGAGGGTCTCCCTGTTGCTCCTGGGGATCTGTTGGATGCTGTCTGGAAGGTAATAGCAAAACCCAACCGCTTCCATCTCCCCCCTTCCCCTGTGCACACGTGAAGGAAGAGCAGCTGATTACTGAGAGGCGTCAGAGACTAAAGCCTTTGGATACTTTCGCACCCAGCCTGGGACTGGAAAAGTTATCCTGACAAATGGAAACCAAGGTTCTGAGGGAGCTGGGCCGACACTTCCTCATAAGCAGGAATGCTTCAGCTACAGAGCCTGAGCCAAGCTGCTGCTGGAGCCCGAGGAAAGCTTTAATGTCTTCCCAAGAACTACACAGAACACAGGCTCAAGCAGAAAGCTGGGAGCTGCTCTTGCTTGTTAGTGAGGGACCCACCTCTGGGAGCATGCAAACCACACACACTGCTCAACACCGACCTGTCCATGCAAACCCTGTGCTGCAGGAGGGGTAGTAGTCATGAGTATATTAATATCAAATGACAGCTAGAGTAGCTCTGCTTCCTGAAAGCTCCAGACTAACTTCCTTAACAGCCAGCACGATGTCTCTCCTTTCAAAGAGCTCTCAACAGCAAGGCTGGGCCTCATCTTTGTCCTACACCACGAAGCTGGTTTATGATGGACTCAGAGGAGAAATCCAGATGTTTCCCACAAACACTTCCAAGATTTTGCTCTTGGACTGAACGATGGGAATGTGAATCCCTGCTTCAACCCTGCGCTAGTCCACGTACGCCTGATGGGTCAAGCTTAGGAGACAAATACCAGTGTCACTAGCATGAAAAGGTCTTTATGTTCCAGCTCCAGGAAGAACACACCTCTTGCTTCTAGACTCACAAAGCACAAGAGCCAGGGTTTTAACTATTTCACTCCAGAGCTTGCACCTCTGGGACTAAACCCAGCGCTCGCTTTGCTGCTATCCGCTCAAATGTTGCAACTTACCTCCAATTTCAGGCCAGATTTTGCTCTTCCACTGATCTACACAAACTACTACTATGAGGGTAAACGCAACCAGGAACAGCAAGCGAAGAGAAGTCAGAGCAAAAAACCTATGGGGAAGAAACGAAGACATGGTACTGACCAGACCTGCATGACACACACCAGAGCGGTAACAGCCTCACTCACACCAAGCCAGGCACTCGGAACAGTTGTAGCCAGAGCAAAGTAAGCAAGTGGTAATCAGCATCCCCAGCCTGCCCATGGTGTATCAGGCAGCTCCAGGGACCCTTATCTGCTCGGGTCATTCCCAACTCCCGGCAGAGCAGCAGAACCGGTGGGTTTTGCTGGTTAGTTCAGTGCTTTGGGATAACAAGGAAGAGAGGCGGGGGGGGGATGATCAGAGGACTGCAGCACCTCCTGTACAAAGATAGGCTCAGAAAGCTGGGGCTGCTCAGCCTAGAGACGAGAAGGCTGCGTGGAGACCTCAGAGCAGCTTCCAGTGTCTGAAGGGGGGCTATAGGGATGCTGGGGAGGGACTATTCGTTAGGGACTGTAGTGATAAGACAAGGGGTAACAGGCTCAAACTGAAACAGAGGAAGTTTAGATTGGATCTAAGGAAGTTCTTTCCTGTGAGGGTGGTGAGGCACTGGAATGGGTTGCCCGGGGAGGTTGTGAATGCTCCATCCCTGGCAGTGTTCAAGGCCAGGTAGGACGAAGCCTTGGGTGAGATGGTTTAGTGTGAGGTGTCCCTGCCCATGGCAGGGGGTTGGAACCGCATGCTCTTAAGGTCCTTTCCAACCCGAACTATTCCGATTCTATGAAGCAGACACCAGCGCCTCCACGCTCCCCTGAGCGGCTGAAGCACGGCAGGAGCGCGACCTCTCGGGCTGCCTGCTCGGGTCCCACCTCCGGCCGTGACCTGTCCCCAGCCCGCCCGGGGACCGCCACCCCCAGGAGAGGGGCGGGCAGGGCCCCCGGTGCCCAGCGCCCAGCCCATACCCGCGTCAGGGAAGCGCGATAACAACACCCCCCCCCCGGCAGCCCACGGCGCTCCGGCGGCCCCCGCGGTACCGAGCGGCCCCTGGCGCCGCTGGGGAGCGGACCCCGGCCCGCTCGGTTTTCCCCCCGGCCCGGGCCCCGCTCACCAGAAGAGGCCGTGCACCGCCGCCCACCACAGCGCGCTGCGGCCCGGCCGCTCCCACACGAGCGCGGCCTGCACGGCGCTCAGCAGCGGCTCGTAGGGCCCGAGGCGGCTCCGCAGCGCCGCGCTCACCGCCTGCACCCGCCGCTGCCGCTCGCCGGGGGCCGCCGCCGCCATCGCTCCCTCACGGCGTCAACATCCGGCCGCCTCACGCGCGCGCACGGCCGCTGGCCGACATGGCGGCGCCCTGCCGCCGCCGGAAGCACTGCAACCCTGGGCGCCGCCATTTCAGCGCAGGCGCGGCGGCCGCCGGCTTGTCAGAGCGCATGCGCGTTTCCAGGATTGGGAAGAGGGGAGGTGCCAAACGGCGCTGTCCCGGAAGTTGCCCGCGCGCACGCGCAGTGCGGTTGGCGCCGGGCGGGAGCCGCGGCGGGGCAGCGGGCGGAGGAGCGGAGCGGGGCGGAGCGGAGCGGAGCTGAACGGGGCTGGGCCGCGATGCCGCGGGAGATCATCACCCTGCAGCTGGGCCAGTGCGGCAACCAGAGTGAGCGCGCCGGCGGCGGCGGCGGCGGAGGGACCGGGGCGGCGCGCTCCGGGCGGGGCCGGGATGCTGAGGGAAAGGGGGCGGAGCCTGATCGAGTGGGCGTGGTTTTGAGGAGGGCGGGGTCTGAAGTGGGCCGCAGCCGCCCGGTCGGGTTCCGCCCCGCAGTCGGGTTCGAGTTCTGGAAGCAGCTCTGCGCCGAGCACGGCATCAGCCCCGAGGGCATCGTGGAGGAGTTCGCCACCGAGGGCACCGACCGCAAGGACGTCTTCTTCTACCAGGTACTGCGGGCGCTGCCCCTGCCCCGCGCTCGCTGTGCTGCGGGGGGGGCCGCTGCCCGTGTCACCGCCGTGATCCGTGCGGCGGGGCCGCTGGCACCGCCCCAGCAGCCTCCCGGTGCCCGTGGGCTGACGCTGCCCCCGGGCTGGTTGGAGCGGCAGCCACAGGCAGGATGCTGCCAGCGCTCCTTCTGTGCTCTGCGCCTGTGGAGGCAGAAGCACGAAGCTGAGGTGCTATAGATACCTCCTGACGTAAGCACCCGTTCCGGGAGAGCCCCCCCCTCTGCCTGCCCCGCGTGCAGAGTGGGCTCTGGGGCTCATGGAGCTGCTGCGGGGTGGGCGGGTTGCGTGGAGCAAGTGTCCTTCCTCCTCCTGCTCCTCCTCCCCGTCGCTGTCCCGCGGCCACGGGGTGGCACAAGCATGCCCTGTTTCTTCTGCACTGATCTTGCTGCTCCTCCTCGCAGGCAGATGATGAGCACTACATCCCACGAGCCGTGCTGCTGGACCTGGAGCCCCGAGTTATCCATTCCATCCTGAACTCCCCTTATGCCAACCTTTACAACCCAGAAAACATCTACTTGTCTGAGCATGGCGGGGGAGCCGGGAACAACTGGGCCAGTGGCTTCTCACAGGTAACAGCTTTGGTGCTCCTGGGTCATTTGGTGTGAGGCTGAATCGTGGCTCTCTTGTGTCAGGCTCAGGATGTGGTTTCTGAGATCCACCTCATCCTTCAGTAGGGACTCACGCCAGGGCACCCTGGGCACAGGAGCATGCTGCCAGCCTGCCGTGGTTCACTCCAGGCTTGAGCTGCTCTTCTCTGTTTCCTGTGGGAAAGGAACGAGATGTGGTCTGGTGTCTCTTGCAGGGAGAAAAAATCCACGAAGATATCTTTGATATAATAGACAGAGAGGCTGATGGGAGCGACAGCTTGGAAGTAAGTACATCAAGGGGGTTGGACCTGCCTGCCCTGCCCTCGAGTCAGGTAGAGCAAGTTTGGCCTCGGGCACTGTAGAAGGAGGGGAATGGCATGGAGAGCCCAGGGAAAGGGTGGGCACGTGCGCCTCTGTGTCATAGACCCGACTGGACTCTGCAGGTGATGTTGGAGCTATTCTGGTCTGTTGTGGGGTGGGAGGAACCAGAAGGCTCCTGCGCAGCAGTTGCACGTTGTGGTGTGTGCAGAGATGCAGTTGCCCTGGCTGGAGGTGGTGGTGGTGGCACAAGGGGCTTTGCTCTGCCTGCTCCTGGCGCTGAGCTGCACTTTGAGCTGCCCGTGTCCTGCTTCCTTGCAGGGCTTTGTGCTTTGCCACTCCATTGCTGGCGGAACGGGCTCGGGACTGGGCTCGTACCTCCTGGAGAGGCTGAATGACAGGTGAGTGCTCGCTCAGGCTGTCCCTGTCCCTCCCGGCCCAGCCTCGGCGCCCTGCCAGAGCACAGCGCTGACTCAGAGCCACCACCCCCACCCAAACACTGCCTTGTGCAACCCCTGGCACGCTGCCCCGCGAGGGGATGGCTCCTGATACGCCTCAGGACCTCAGAGTCTGCAACTGGCCTCAGCCTCTGCCTTCTCTCAGCCGTACTCAGCAGGCAGCTGCCTTCAGACACCCTGGCTGTGCCGGGGAGGGTGGGAGGCTGTAGCTGTGGGCTCCGAGCTGCCATCGCTGCCTGTTTGAACTTGCAGCCTCTTGACAAGGCTTGTAAGCAGCTGTTTAATCAGCCTGTGGATGGCTCAGCCTTGCCTGCAGCGCTGTCTGGCAGCTTCCTCCTGTACTGCTGGGGTAGGCACTGCTGGGACAAATTCTCTGCCTCACTGGGAGCCAACTCTGGCACGCAGCACTGGTGACTCAGTGCTGTCCTGAGCCCTGGAGACTGTACAGGGAGCTGGTGGGAGGAGAGTGCTGGCTCGGCGGTGTTAACTCTTGAGATGGCTGGGCTTTCTCCCCAGGTATCCCAAGAAGCTGGTGGAGACGTACTCAGTTTTCCCCAACCAGGATGAGATGAGCGACGTTGTGGTCCAGCCCTACAACTCTCTGCTGACACTGAAGAGGCTGACACAGAACGCTGACTGCGTGGTAAGAGGAGTGTCACTGTGTGCCAGGCAGCTCCTGCGTGGCAGCCCCGTCCCCGCCGCTCAGCTGTGTGGCCTTTGCTGGGACAAGTGCTGTAGGGGAGTGGGGTGAGGGCCACAGCAACGGGCCATGTGCCCCAGGCACAGCATCCCTGTCCGGAAGGACTGAGCAGATGTGAGATGGGGTGACTCCAGGGACGAGGGCTCTGTGCTGAGCACTGCTGTGCTGTCCACTTGGGCATTGGTGCCTCCATGACCCAGCACATTCTTCCCACGGCAGCACTGGCTCCACTTCCTCTGCTTGCACTCGAGTCCAGCCTTGCTTTCAGCACTCACACGTCCCAGCCAGGCAGCATCTTCACCATGCTCCAGGGCCTTCGCTCAGCTCCTAACCAAGGCGCTGCTCATCTCTCCCAAGCTTATATCTGTATGAGGCAGGGCAGGAGCTGCTCTCCAGAGCTGCTGGGGCTGACAGGAGCTGCGAGGTGCTGGCCCAGAGGCAGAGCTCTTTGGGAGAACACTGAGGAGCTCAGCCAGGACGGGAGGGAAGAGCTTCCATCGACAGTGTCAGTTAGGCTGCACATGGGTCAGCGAGTGGGTTCTGGTGTCTGCCACCTGCCGTGGTGCTCAGGGCCCGTGCTGGGCAAGGGATGCCCTAGGACACAGGCTGGGACTGCCCCTGTGCAGGCTGAGGCTCCTCACAGAGCCGGTGCTTTCCTCTTGCAGGTGGTTCTGGACAACACGGCCTTGAACCGCATCGCGACAGACCGGCTGCACATCCAGAACCCATCCTTCTCTCAGATCAACCAGCTGGTGAGAAGGGGCAGCCTGCACAGGCTTGAATGTGACCATGGGGTGACGCGGGTGCTCACCCCATCCTCTTCCCTCCAGGTCTCCACCATCATGTCTGCCAGCACCACCACGCTCCGGTACCCCGGGTACATGAACAACGACCTCATCGGGCTCATTGCCTCGCTGATCCCCACACCCCGGCTGCACTTCCTCATGACGGGCTACACGCCGCTCACCACCGACCAGTCGGTAATGCCCCTTCCTGGGGCAGGAGCTGCCATGCTCACCCCGTGCACGCTCACCTCATAACATCCCTCAGTCCCCTGGTCCTGCTGTGAGCTGGGGTTGCGCGTTCCAAAGCCCAGGCCCACGTGTGATGTGCATCAGACGTGAGCAGGCCCTTGCACGCCTGCTGGGCTCCCTGCTGCAGCCATGGCAGAGCTGACAGCATCTGACCAGACAGAAGCCCCCCTTAGAAACCATGGGGAGGAGCCCAGCACAGTGGCCCTCCCCATCCTGCTGTCCCGCTGGGCCACCAGCCCAGGCTCTCTGGGTCAGAACACTGTTGGGTGTTGGCATTCGTGGGCTCCAGGCATCGTGTTCTGGGGTAGGGGGGGAACTGCCACCCCTCTCCTGCCTCACGTGCTTCCGTTCAGCTCGTCCCCAGCCAGTGCCCCTCGTTAGGGTGAGGTGTGAGAGGCTCTCACTGCGTTGGCCGTGCTGCAGGAGCTCGCTCACAGCTGCTCTTCTCCTTATGTGCATTCCCCTCAGGATGTTGCTCAGAGAAGCAAATCCGAGAAACTGCTGGCTCTGAAAAGGGTATCGAGTGTGTGACCTGTCCTCTGCCCAGGAGTGTGGGGAGGGCTCAGCCAGGGCCTGGAGCCGGGCTGCCACATGCGGAGCTGTCCTTGCCCCGGGCTCTCCCCTGGCAGCTCCCTGTGCCTGTGGTGGCCGGTGGGATCGAGCCTTCTCCTGTCCTGCAGCCCCGCTCCTTGCTTGGGCAGCAGAACAGGAGAGGAGTTTGATGGGAACAACGTAAAACGTGTCCCTGTCACTCTGGCTTCACCTGAGCCTCGCCCCAGCCCCTGCTGTGCTGCTGGGGGGCAGCTCAGCACCCTTGTGTTGGAGCCTCTGCCAACGCTCTGGTTCTCAGCCTGGCTGTGCCTGTTGTGTGGCTTTGGGATCTCCCTGTCCTGCATGTGGCTCTGCATGTGTGTCCATCCCCGGGGCGAGGGCTTCTCCGTGCAGCTGCCCTCTGCTCCTTTGTGTGTGTGTGTGTGTGTGTGTGCAGGGCACAAGCTCGCCTGCTCCCTCTGACCCCGAGCTGGCATTTGCAGGTGGCCAGCGTGAGGAAAACCACAGTCCTGGATGTGATGAGGCGATTGCTGCAGCCTAAGAACGTGATGGTGTCCACAGGGCGAGACAGGCAGACCAACCACTGCTACATTGCCATCCTCAACATCATCCAGGGGGAGGTGGATCCCACACAGGTGAGCTCCTGTGGCCATTCCAGATGGTGATGGTGATGGCATGGCCAGCCAGGGGAGAGCATGGTCACCCTGTTCCTCTGTGGGGATCCTGGGGTAAGACTGAACCATACCTGAGAAGTGGCTCCAAGTTGCTCCTATGGGCCCTGGCCTTGTGGAAGGCCCCTCATCCCTGACCATGAGCAGCTGCATTTGCTGGAATCCACCTTCCTGCAGCCAAATACCCTTGTGAGGAGCAACTCCTGGGTCTGCTGGGACCAGGCTGCTCTGCCCATCACCCTGCTGCCCTTCTCTGCTCTCATCCCACCAGGTTCACAAGAGCCTGCAGCGGATCCGGGAGAGGAAACTGGCCAACTTCATCCCCTGGGGTCCTGCCAGCATCCAGGTGGCTTTATCCCGCAAGTCCCCGTACCTACCCTCGGCACACCGTGTCAGCGGCCTCATGATGGCAAACCACACCAACATCTCCTCGGTGAGCGCTTCCCCCTGCACCGCGGGGGCCCCGTCTGCACCTCTCATGTCCCTGGGGGTTTCACAACGCCGCAGCAGGCTGGGAGCGGGCACGGCAGGCCTGGGGTCCCATTCACCCCGGTGCTGCCCTCCCTCCAAGGAGCAAGCCGGGCTCCTTCCTCCGTGCTGGGTGCAGTGGCGGCCGTGGGGCTCCCCGGGGCGGGGAGGGGGGTCGGTGGCCGCGCTGAGCCCCGCGCCGCCCGCAGCTCTTTGAGCGGACGTGCCGGCAGTACGACAAGCTGCGCAAGCGGGAGGCCTTCCTGGAGCAGTTCCGCAAGGAGGACATCTTCAAGGACAACTTCGACGAGCTGGACAACTCCCGGGAGATCGTGCAGCAGCTCATCGACGAGTACCACGCGGCCACGCGCCCCGACTACATCTCCTGGGGCACGCAGGAGCAGTGAGCGCCCTGCTGCCGCCGCCTCCACGCACGCCGGCGGGGCTCAGCCCTGCCGTGCCCACGTTTAGCACCCCTCAGCGCTGCCCGGCCGCGGCACCGGCTGCACACACACACACACACACCACACACACGTGCGCTGCGCTCCTCGGCGCCAGCAACCCCGCAAGACCCTTGGCAGGGCACAGCCCCTGCTCCCCCCGTGGCCCAGGACAGGACTGGGGCAGCTGCGTGCTGCGCTGGGAGGGAACCTCTGCCCATGCGAGCAACGCTCGCTCGGAGGAGGGTGACGAGAGCGAACCCAGGGGCTTGGAACAGGCCTGGCCTGATGAGGTGGGTGCGCGCAAGCCCTGCGGCCAAAGGCTCTGTGTGGCTGAGCTAGTCCTTGCCCTGGGCGGGAGCCTTGTTCCTCCTTCGCCAGATCAGGCCTGGGGCACAGGCTGTATCTATATTTTTGTAGGTTATTTTGCTTTAATAAAGGCTGCTCCTGCACTGACGCTGCCTCCGCGTGTCCCTACGCGAGCAGCTGGGCAAGGAGCAGCTGCAGATGCTGCCAAGGGCCAGTGCTTGCTGCGTGCAGCCCCGCTGCGCAGCCGCAGCTCTGCAGGGTCCTGGGAGCACTTGGACCGGGGCCGCTGCTCCCCTGCACGTCCCGGTGGGGCCGGGAGCTGCTCCCGCCGGGGCCACTGCTGCGGCAGAGCCAGAAATACCGGCAGGACCTGCTGCCACGGCTGACCAGGGCCGGGAGCCGGCGCCGCCCTGCCCGCAGCGCTGCTTCACAGGGACGAGGCCCCATGCAGGGGCCCTCAGCACGCAGGAGCCAAGGCAGGGGACGGCACTGCAGCACAGGACACGAGCTCAGCGCCGGCCGGTGTCAATGGGGACCTGGGCAGTGCCCAGTCCTGCCCTGCCCTGCGTGATTCAGGCTGCAGGGGACAGGGGCGTGGGGTGGTGCTGGCGCGGTCCCAAGCCCACGGGCAGCTCAAGGTGAGAATTGGCCTTTTCCTCTGACCCTGTGGCACGGACCAGGAGGCTAAAAATACCCCTCAGCGCCGGGCTCCCACGCCCTCTTTGGCACCAGCCCCGCCGAGGCGCCTGCTGCCGGGACAGCCAGTGCCAGGGGGTGCCGGGGAGCCGGAGCTGCCCGCGCTGTTGGGGAGCTGCCAAAGGCTGTGGCCGGCAGGCGCTGCCCCCAAGGACACGCTGTGCTGCTCCCGCTGCGTGTCCCGGCCCTGCTGCAGGATCAGGGCGTCCCTCCGCAGCCCCACCGGCACCGCAGCCCCACCGGCACCGCAGCCCCACCGGCACCGCAGCCCCACCGCAGCCCCACCGGCACCGCAGCCCCATCCTGTCCTTTGTGCATTTATTAGAAAAACCAACAACTCCCCCCCATCCCCAGGACACAACCGACAAACGGGACAGAGGCAACACCGAGGGGCCGAGCCCCCTCTGCCGTCCCGGCCACCCCCCCCCGCCCCGAGCCCGGGGCCGCCGCTCCGGGACCGGGAGGAGGAGGGCGCTGGGCCAAAAGCCGCCCGCAGCTTTCCAGGAGGGGTGGGTTCGGCGGACGGACGCGGACGATGGCGCAGCCCCGCTGCCCGGTGCCGGCACACAGGCAGAGCTGCCGGGCAGCACGGGTGCTGGAGGCGAAGGCACCGGGGCACAGGGACAGGGACGGGCCTGGGGGCAGCGCAGGGACCCGCTGCCCTCCAGGGAAAGTGCTGGGAGACGTGGAGGGCTCCAAATAAATTAAAGGGAGTCACCAGAAAGGCACCGGCGGCGTGGGGCGGGGAGGGGGGGGGGGCGAGCCCCAGTCCCTGCTCCGGAGCCGCCGCGGACCGGCACAGACCTGCGGCTCGGCACCGGCCGTCACGAGCACCCTGCGGGGCCGCACCGCGCACCGGGCTGGCTGTGGAAGGAGCCCACCGGCGGTTGGTGCTGCCAGGGCCCGGCCGTGGGGCAGAGCCCCCGGGGCAGCGCGGTGGGGTCGGAGGCAGCGGGGCTGGGGGTCGGCTCCGGGGACAGGGGCGGCTGCCGGGCGGCCGCAGAGGCGAGGTAGGTGTTGAGGAGCTGCGCGATCTCCTCCACCTGCGGGCAGAGCGGACACGGGGCAGCCGGGGGCAGCCTGCGTGGGGCAGGGGGGGGATGCAGAGGGGCTGGAGCCCCCTTACCTGGGAGGTCTCGAAGAGCAGGTCCCGGTCCTCCACGGAGATGCGGAAGGTGCCGCTGTCGGAGGCGCCGAAGGAGGAGATGCGGCTGTAGCAGAAGCTGTCCAAGGGCTCGGGCTCCCCGGGCTTGTAGAGCGAAACGGCTTTGGCACCGATGCCGAGCCAGAGCCGCTGCGGTGCGGCCCCCACGGGGCTCTGCGGTGACAGAGGGGGTCACAGAGCTGCACCGGCCACGGCTGCCCCCCCATCCCGGCCCCGCAGCCCCCGGTTCCTCACCGCACGCACGTCGACGTCGAAGAGCGTGGAGCCGAAGCCGGGCCACTCGCGCACCAGCGCCACGTAGGCGGCCATGGCCTCGGGCCGGCCCATGCCCTGCAGCAGCTTCCACTTCTCCAGGATGGCGGCCATGGTGCTGGCACCCTCCTCCCGCAGGCGGCCCCGCAGGCGCTGGTCCCGCTCCGCGCGCTGCTTGGCCAACGCCTGCCCCCAGAGCCCCCCGGCCAGGAGCCCCGCACGCAGCCGCGCACCCCGGCACTTGGCGGGGGGCCGGTGGCAGGGGGCCGGCAGCCGCGCGTGTAGCACCTGGGGTGGGAAGAGCTCCTCGAGGCGCGGGAAGGGAGCGTGGGTCGAGAAGTCGCTGTTGAGGCTCTGCAGGCGCAGCGCGGCCAAGGTCTGCAGCGTCTCCTCCGACGTGGGCACGTAGCCCCGCAGCACCATCTCGTGTGCCTGCGGGAGGGTGGCATGAGCTGGCACGGCACGGCCACCATGGCATGGCATGGCACAGCCAGCACAGCATGGCACAGCACGGCCAGCACAGCATGGCATGGCATGGCCACCATGGCATGGCACAGCACAGCCACCATGGCATGGCACAGCCAGCACAGCATGGCACAGCACGGCCAGCACAGCATGGCATGGCATGGCCACCATGGCATGGCACAGCACAGCCACCCCACCATGGCACGGCATGGCCCCCATGGCATGGCATAGCATGGCTATCCCAGCATAGCACGGCACAGCCACCATGGCATGGCACAGCACAGCCACCATGGCATGGCACGGCACGGCCACCATGACATGGCACGGCACAGCCACCATGGCATGGCACAGCACAGCCACCCCACCATGGCATGGCATGTCCCCCATGGCATGGCACAGCACAGCCATCCCACCATGGCATGGCACAGCACAGCCACCATGGCATGGCACAGCATGGCCATCCCACCATAGCATGGCACAGCGCAGCCATCCCAGCATAGCATGGCACAGCCACCGTGGCATGGCACAGCACAGCCATCCCAGCATAGCACGGCACAGCCACCATGGCATGGCACAGCACGGCCATCCCAGCATGGCACAGCTCGGTGCTGCCACCCCATCACGGCTCTCACCTGCTCAAAGAGGAGAGCAAACTCCAGGCTGTCCCGCGGGACGTTGTCCGTGTCCAGGAAGCCGTAGTGCTTGAAGCAGAGCCGGCACGGCGGGTCCTGCTCCCGCTCCTCCCCAGCCAGGCTGCAGGAGAAGAGACTGGCCCCATCAGCACGGGGGCAGGCAGGGGGAGGCTGCCCCATCTCACCCCATCCCATCCCATCTTCCCCATAGGCAGCAGAGCAGGACATTTACTTTTCAAACCTGGTGAGGACGTCAGCCAGCAGCGTGGCGCTGCCCACGGGGTGCTCCCGCCGCCGGGACTGCTCATAGAGCGCAAAGAGATTGGGGCTCTGGGACAGCCCCAGGCGCGACACCAGCTCCTGGGCCACCTGGGGTGAGCCAAAGGCAAGGGGCAAGGACAGAGAGGTCAAGGTGGGCAAAGCCCCGGCCCCTCTCCACCGGGGCTCAGCTGGGGCAGACCCACAGGAGCCCTTCACCACCCGGAGCTCGCTGCTTGCCCAGCCCCTCACGTCGAATGCCCCTCGCCCGCTGTGCCTGCAGCCCCTCACCTCCTGGGCCGTGGTGTGGGAGCTGATGGCCACGCTGCAGGCTGGCGCCCCGGGGCAGTGCACGGTGCAGATCATCTCCTGCCGCCGCATCAGCACCAGGATCTCCTCCAGCGAGGGCACGCACTCCCGCCCCTTCGTCTTCCCCAGCGCCTCCCGGATGAAGCAGGCGTACTCGGCCATCTCCGAGGCAGGGAACCGGCTCTCTGTCCTGCAAAGGCACCGGGAGGGGGTCAGAGCAACACTGACCCGGTGCGGGCTCCGGCACCCTCCCTGCCCGCAGCCGGTGCCCGGTGCCCCGCCGGCACTCGCCTGTCCAGGTGGAAGCGCAGGAAGCGCAGGACGGGCGGGGAGGGCAGGAAGGTGCAGCTCATGCAGGTGAGCAGCTGCCAGTAGTGCAGGTCGCCCTGCCCGCCCGGCGCCGGCGGCTCCGTGGTCTGCTTCACCAGCTGGCAGTAGATCTCGTCCACCAGCGGCGGCAGGTCCAGGCAGGTCTGCAGGACGCCCTGCATCAGCGGCACCGGGTCCCGCTCCGACTCCAGCTGCTGCAGCGAGTTGAAGAGCTTCACGGCCTCATCGCGCAGCGCCGTGTAGCTGCGGGGGCCAGGGGCTGCGGGACAGCATCGGGGTTAACAGCCCCATGGGCTGTCGCAGGACCACCCCTCCCGAGACCCAGGCACCCGGGGCCCAGTGCCCCCCTGCCCTGCACAGCACCCTGCAAGGCCATGGGACCGGGCTTTGTGCCCCCTCACCGCTTTGGTCCAGGCTGCCGTAGGGGAAGGGCAGCAGGGGAGCGTAGAGGGGGCTGCTGGTGTAGCGCAGGATGGGGTTGCAGCGGTAGATCTGCTCCAGCACCTCGGGGCTGCCGCAGTGCTCCTGGGAGGGTGAAACAACGAAGTCAGCTGCAGAGGGGCTGCCGGGCTGAGTGTTGGCACAGGTACCCATCACCACCTGGCACAGGTACCCACCACCACTGCTGGGTACAGGTACCCACAACCATCACTGC